CAAGCGCTTCCATCGAGGAAACCGTTGAACAAGTAATTCCTTCAGGATTAGCATACCATCTTATATATATATATATATATATACAAATCATTGGCGATGGGCACCAGACGGATTTGTGCGACCATGCGTTTTTGCAATATTTCGTGCTATAGTAAAACTGCTTGGAAACCAAGTAGCTAGAATTTTTGATGTTCTGGTCCTCGAAATTCAATAAGTTAATTCTGCAACTACGCAGTACTTGGACAAGGAGCATTCCGTTAAAAAAATTACAGCTGTCTAGCTAATCCAGTTTCCCATTTAACAATTTTCCCAGCCAAAATTTTCATGAGGCCATACATGAGAACCATGCACACCTGGGCGCTATATATGAAACCTTCAAGTGTTACGTGGGCTATGAACATCTGCTTAAAATTTCAGTTCCCCAGCTGTTCTGGCCTCCGAGTATGCGATTTTCTCGCCAGAAAAATTCCGTGGGGCCGCATGTAAGGAACACGCATATTTTGAGGCTAAATTTGAAATCTATGAGTTTTATGTGGATAGAGGAATCCTTCCAAAATTTCAGCTTCTTGGCTTTTCTGCCCCTCGAGCATTTTCCAGCCAAAGCTTTCACACGCTCGTACTCGGAACAGAGACGCTCAAAAGGGTAGGCGCCGAAGCTTGCAAGGTTGCCGAGATGAAATGTCCGGGCAGACGCACAAACAGACACACAATGACACACACACACAGACACCTAGGTCGTCGCAATACGCGTTTTTGCATTCGCATACATGCGAAAACGCATAACAACCTCTGCGGAATTGTTTCTCGAAACCGTGATTTTCAAATAGCGGAGCGCACGAGGATGGCCGAGCGAGACCAGGTATTTTGCGCAGCTCCGTGTAGCAGACATTTGCTGTTAAAAGCTTTCAGTATTTTCTCTTTGGCATGTGCAGAAATAGTCAGTATGTTGTTCGGTTCCGAAGCTGCGAAATTTCTCACCAAAGATTTCAAGTGTCGGCATTTTTAACACAGGCTTCTCCGCGGAGTGAATATGTGTTTGTAGAATCGTACATGAAATTTAATGCGAATATTTGCTGTCCGTTGAAAATCTTCAAGTTTAAAACTAGCTTCTGCCTTTGTATGCGTCATTACACCCGGACAAGTCAAATGTTCAGACTGTGGTACTTTTTTCGCTTTCCTCTCTTGGTGGTCAAACATTGAATAAAGCAGAAGTTTTACGCTTCTTGATAATCTCACTGTAATATTTCCCATCGCAACCTGTGATACGTGTTCTCCCAGCTTTCCATTTCGTAAAACAACAGAAGTAGAGGGAATCCAGTCTTTTAATATTATTTTATACATACATTTCTTTAGATTTTATACAAATTTCTTTACATTTTACATACATATAATATTGCTTTTTGTTAATATATGCTACGATTAGTATCTCCAACTTTACGTCTACCTTCAATCGAAAATCGAATGGAAACCTAATTAGC